TCCCTGAATATTTTTACCTGCTGGAAGGAATGATTACCAAATAGAGCTCGTTGTTTTTATTTTTAATATTTATTTATTTGGCTGCGCCAGGTCTTAGTTGCAGCACGCGGGATCTTTAGTTGTGGCATGTGGGATCTAGTTCCCTGACCAGGGATGGAACCTGGGCCCCCTGCATTGGGAGCAGGGAGTGTCAGTCACTGGACTACCAGGGAATTCCTTACAGTTGGTTGTTTTTAAAGTGAGAGGTATTTTCCGTGCATAAGCCATATCTGGTCTCTAAGTCTTATTTTTTCCAGGGGTAATCCCACGTTCATGTTTGCACAATACTAAGTGGAGGTAGGGTGATTGTTTAGCCCCTCTGATCCATTTAAGCTCTGCTGGATAAAAGAAGCCCAAATACTTGACACATTTGATCTAATGAGCCCAAAATACATCATCTGAAAGCTTGTTCGTGTGGCTATAACACCGAATAATGGCCAAGTTTACACATCATGCTGGGCTGTGACAGATGTCCTGGAACCTTCTCTATACCAATCATAAGGAATTTTCATGCACACTTCATGACCTTGTGTGACATTGTGCATTGAAACAGCTTAATGTAATTGCATTTTATTTCTTAATTCCTCAGCGTTAGCACAGGTGAGGCCACAAAAAGACTCTGTAAGCACATCAAATGTATAATTAGATTGAATTTCTTTCCCATTTGATTCAAAACAGTTGCATTGTACTGGTTTTCCTATTTTATCTGTGTCAGATATACCAGAAGGAAGTCTCACTGTGTTCATTTTTAGTATGTGCTCCTGTTCAACTCAAAATAAAAGCTCCTCTTTCCCAGGTGAACCTGAGCTGCTCGTCTGCTAATATTAGAAATGAATGACATCAGTATGGGGGCACGGGACACATAGCTTTGTCAGTCAAATTTTGGAAATCCTAAATCTTAAATCAAAGCTTCAGGAAAGAGTTACTGCAGAAGGGATATAGCTTCTTGAGAAGCCAAGGTTACATTTCTTCTTTCTGAAGGCAGAATTGTCCTCTCAGTGTCTGAACTTGTTTTAGGACAACGGTTAGTTCCATGGCAGATGCATTAAATATAATTTCTAGTGTCATTTTGTGGAGCATCCATCATGCACTTTTTATTTTAAGGCGATAATAAAATTGTGAGAACTAAAATCCAGTGTCACTTAGGCACAGTATCAAATGCCATTTGATGCTTACAGGTCCTTTACAAATCAAAAGATGCTTAAAGCAGAAGATTAGCAACCTAAATGTGCTGTTTTAAATTGCTTGCTTCTGAATACATGTATCTTAGACATTACTCAGAGTTGTAAACTGCTTGGAAGAGAGGAATAGCTAGCTAAAATAGGTATCTTGCATTTGACCAAGAAAGATGCATATTGCATAGGACAAAAATCCCTTATTTAAAGGTTGACACAACAGAGACAACCTGAAAGCACAGGTAAGGGACTCCAGTGGCCTTGTCAAGCTGGCAGAAACAAGTTTGGTTTGACCTGGTTTTCATGTGCTCAGATCATTACATCATCTG